TTGAAATTTTGTGTGTGCGTTGGAAGGCAGCTTGGGCTTCGTCTAAATAGGCTAGTGGGCGCTCTGCGTAGAGCTCGTACAACTATTTTCAGTGCTCGACCGTGAACGTTTTGCTCCCGTTTGTCTGAGCACGCTCGAAAGTTCCTGTGGACTCAAAGACCCGAATCCAGTTGCCGATGATGAACACGTGGGCAAGCTCCTTTCGAGACAATCCAAGCTGACAAAACGCGTACAGGCAGCGCAGTACAGCATTGAGGTGAGCGTGTCCCTGTGTCCCTGTTCTTTGCATGACGCGTACGAGAAGCACACAGGTAGCAGTAACCAGTAAGCAAGAAAACAGTGTTATAAACCTCGCCGAGCATATATTCACGTACAATTAGCGTTCGTCACTATGACCTTGAAGATCACCGACGGTTGGTTCCGCACTGAGGATTCCGCGCTGGTGAGACCGCACTGCGGTCTCCGCACTCCGCGCTGCAGCCTCCTCATCGTCGGTGAAGATTCGTAAATGCAGTCTCGCGTTTTAGCCATTCACACTGGGCGTTGGATTGTTTACCGAATTACCCAATAGGCCATGGCGTCCAATATAGCCGGGATTCACAATAAAAGTGTACTTAAACACAACAGTGGAGATTCTATCTCCTCAGAAAAAAAAGAATATGACAGATAGACTCCATGTGCTTGTCTGGCCGCCCTGTCCTGGAGGCTACTGTTGGGTTGATGGCTGAATTGCCAGAAATACCACCGGCTAGTGGTAAGTGTCCACCGGTCAGATTGGCGGCTCTACCAATAAGGATGGGTGAAGTCACTTTAAGTTACAAATAAATAGCCAATCAGAATAAATATAATCTCCCTACAACAGGCAAAACCTCTCGCGCGATGATAGTCTAGATGGCAAAGAGAGCCCACTTCTCCTTTTGCCAACAACTGAGCGCACCAGTTTATTGGAGGGCAACAAGAGAATAAATATAAGTACCAGTTTAAATTAAAACTGACTGTTCAACATTTCAAGTTGAGACTCTCAGATGCCTAATGAAGATAAGGGAAAATTTGTTGGTCTCAAGTTCAACGGGAAGACAGGCGACTTTCAGTGCTGGAAAGATGCGATTCTAACGCATCTCACAAGCCGGACGAATTCTCGTCGTGTCGCGGAGATTAAATATAAGCGTCCCCGCCCCGTCTCGGGTACGAGGATCTGCTGTCTCGGCCCATCCACATTGCGGAGCCAGGCGCAGATGCGACCGCTACAGAACGGGAGCAATACCAGCTGGAGATGGCGTTTCTGGTTGAGCAGGAGTCGTACCTGCGGGACCTCTTCAACTATACCCTTCTTCATCGCTACATGGCGCAATTAAGTACCCCGCTTGTAACGGGGTTACACGCATTTGGCTACATGTAGCCACTTGATTACGACAATGGATTTCACGTTGGTGTGAGATACACCAATGGTTACATTTGACAGACCACTGGTCTGTGTGCATTTACAATTC